ATGGGCAAGCAGAAGTAACCATCCGCACTATTAAGACAGCTCTTCAAACAAAACTCGAAGCATTGACAAGTTGATGGGTGGAACACCTACCATAAGTGTTATAGGCTTACAAAACCACCGCTAGAGAAGCAACTCAAGAGATGCCCTTCGCCTTGGCTTATGGTACTAAAACAATGGCTCCTGTGGAAATAGGCGTCTCATCCCCAAGGACAAAGCTCACCAATCCTGAGCAAAACGATGAATCACTTTTGTTTAATCTCGAGCTCTTAGATGAAAAAGGGACAGAGCCTTACAACGCATACTTGACTATCAGAGGAAAATAGCTCGATTCTATAACAGAAGAGTTAAACATAGGAGTTTCACAGTAGGAGATCTGGTCCTCAAGAAACTACTTCCAACTGGGAAAAAGCTCAATCACGGGAAGCCAGGGTTCAATTGGGAAGGTCCGTACATCTTATCCAGAATAATCAGACCAGGGAATTCTGAGCTACGAACTGAAGAAGGAAGAGTTTTGCCTCATTCCTAGAATTTTGCGCAATTGAAGAAGTTCTTCTAACACATGATGAGTTATTCAGCTCAAAAAAACGACGATGAGCTCTTTAGCTCATAAAACTAAGATGAGCTACTTAGCTTATAAACTCATGATGAGCTCTTCAGCTCACAAGAACGTCGATGAGCTCTTCAGCTCATAAAACTAAGATGAGTTCCTTAGCTCATAAACTCACGATGAGCTCTTCAACTCATAAAACTAAAATGAGCTCCTTAACTCATAAAACTAAGATGAGCTCCTCAACTCATAAACTCACGATGAGCTCCTTAGCTTATAAACTCACAATGAGCTCTTTAGCTCATAAGAACGTTGATGAGCTCCTCAGCTCATAAACTCATAATGAGCTCTTTAACTCATAAGAACGTTGATGAGCTCTTCAACTCATAAAACAACGATGAGCTCCTCAGCTCATAAACTCACGATGAGCTCTTCAGCTCATAAGAATGTCGATGAACTCTTCAACTCATAAAACAACGATAAACTCCTCAACTCATAAACTCACGATGAGCTTTTCAGCTCATAAGAACGTCGATGAACTCTTTAGCTCATAAAACTATGATGAGCTCCTTAGCTCATAAACTCACGATGAGCTCTTCAACTCATAAAAATGTCAATGAGCTCTTTAATTGATAAAACTAAGATGAGCTCTTCAGCTCATAAAACTACAATGAGTTCTTCACCTTATAAAATAATGATGAGCTCTTCAACTCATAAAACTACAATGAGTTTTTCAACTCATAAAGTTAAGCTTCTCAGATAAGCCCCTCAGCTCAGGAACAGACCTCATACTTGATAAAAATAGAATTGATCCCAGAAGAACAGAGTTCTCCTTGAAGCAAGGGGGCAAAAGGGGAGACAACACAATAGAAGCAAGATACAAGCTCTTGTCATTTCTTAAAAACTATTACAATAAATAAGAAATTTTAATACAAAAGCCCCAAGTATCAAAAGTTGAATCAGCAGTTTCTTTAGGGCAGCTTAGGTGTAGTAATTTCTTTAACAGAGCAGGAGGTGGAGGAAGATTAGATGAAGCTGGAGAAATAACAGACGAAGCAAAATGAGCCTCAGAAGGGACATGTGCTAAAACTTCACCTCCAATTGGAGGCAAGACGGTCTCGGGAACTCCCACCTCTGCTGAAATTGTCTCCTCAAGCCAAGAAGATTCAACCCTAGTCTCAGCAGGAGCAAGATTAGGAGCCTCGACCTCGACCCTGACCCCAGTAGGGACAACAAAAGAAGCTTCGACCTGAAGGACAAGGCTGGGAGTTGTGACCCCGACCTCTGCCTTCTTCTAAGTAGCTAATTCATTTTTCTCCTTGCCCAAGGGAGGATCAAAGTCAAAGTCTAGAGCAGGGTATGCATCCATGGCCTACTCCTGAAAGGTAAAATACCCAGCTACCTAATTTGTAGCACATTCATCTTGGAGCTCTGCTATCTAGGTGTCCCTTGCCTTCACCTTGGCCCTCTCTACCTCAGTGGGAGAATTTGCCATTGAAATACTTCATAAGCAAGGGGACCGTAGGGGTACTAAGCTTGTTCTTCTTAAAAAAAACCAAAAGACCCACCAAAACACCCCAGAAATTAGGAAAAAGTTGGGTTGGACAGATGTTGAAGTGTTAGTGGACAGACTTAAGAAATGGGTGCATATGAAATCTAAGACCGTTCTCTAAGGAGGCTACAAAGAAATAAGCCTTATTGAGCACCTCAAAATCATACCTAATATCTACATGGGAAACACCAATAGTGCAAACCCCTAGGAAAACCAAACCTTACAAACAAAACACTCATAAAAGGGAGAGTAACCTCACTAAAACCTACAAGGTCTAAGGGTCAGGGTGCAAACTCAGCATCCCTAGCACTGCCAGAGGTCCCAACCTTGCCTATCTTAACTTTCCCTTTATGGGATTTCTTAGACCTTAAGGCAGGTCTTGGCATGGGCAAAGGGACCTCCACTTCCTCTCCAGCGTCAACAAAGTCAACGCCAAGGAAGTTATCTATCTCGTCACCCATATCCTTCAGGTCGTCCTCTTCTAACTTGAGAGACCTGTCGCCCATGGCAAGGGATTCGGAGGAAGCAGTGACTTCAGAAGAAGCAGACATGACAATATAGGAGAAATGAAGGTTAAAAGAAGCGTAGAGGGGAGGGACGTTGGTAAAACAGTCCTCGAGGGCCCTAAGATCAAGGCACCAGCGCCAAAAAGAAAAATCCTAGCGGTGGAATAAGGATCTAGAAAGAGAGGAAGGAAGGACAAGGAACAACCTCGATTTCTAAAATAGCAGAAACGGAAAGTCCAAAAATGGAATAACCACCTCGAATTTGATAAATCCAGAATGAATAGAAGCCCAAAAAGAGGAAAGGGAATAGCGAGACAGAGGACGTATCTAATCAACAAAGATCAATGATCGAGGGCCCAAAGTAGACTCGAATATAGGAATGAGCTAGCATCACAGGTACTCCAGAGCAAATTTGGGCGTTTTTCAATAAAACCCTAAGCCACCAAAAGGTTGAAGAAGATGAAATCTCAAGAAAGAAGAAAAGAGGGAAATCTGAATAGGGAAGGCAAAGCAAATTCGAAATGATGAAGGAGGCAGTTTTTTCCTGCAAATATATTGAAGACTAGTGTACGAACGGACAAGTGGAGCTATGGGGTAAAGGGCGTGCACGAGAAACGAGGCAAAACTAACTCTTTGCACGTTTTTAACACCGTAGAAATTCAAGAATGTCCCATCATACGAATATTGAGGGCAATCCAGGCTAACCTCACTCATTCAGCTCAGAAGGTCAGGCCCAGGTAACTTATTTGATTGAGGGCTAGGGGCAACTGATGATACCCAAAATATATCCAAGGTTGAGCTCGGGTTATCAGCCCAGACCTCCTTAGCTCGTGAGCTCAGCCCATCCTTAATGACTAGGAAACTCGAGGTCAACACCTCTTCTCCAACAACTGCACCTCATCCAGTATGGCGCAGGTGACATCTATCTTCCACCCAAGCACCATGCAAACCGTCACGGTCGCATGTCTAAGCAAATAAGTCGCAACTGTCTCAGTATCCACCGCGGTCGTTGCGCGAGAGGCCCAACCATTACGATAGATAGGCAAAAATCATGTCGTGGATCAGGCGAGGCCTTGGGCCAACTATAAATATGAGTCACAACCCTCTCAAATGGAAAACAAGCCATTATAACCTGAGCATTCATTATGTAATTTCATTCCTTATCAATATAAGTCTTAGGAGCAAAAGACTCACATAAGAGTAAATTAGCCAAACTTTTGAAACTACTATAAATTCTGTATATTAATTCCCTTCTTGTTGTCCAAATCTCAAGAGTCTAAAAGCTCATACAGNAAAAGACTCACATAAGAGTAAATTAGCCAAACTTTTGAAACTACTATAAATTCTGTGTATTAATTCCCTTCTTGTTGTCCAAATCTCAAGAGTCTAAAAGCTCATACCGAATTATTCGGTCCCATCAATTTCCCACCTCTACTCTACCGTGCTAAAGATTTTGAAAACAGAAAATTATTAACATTCGAACTCTAAATACTGTCGGCCTGTGACCACTTATTTTCTTTTCCTCTCCACTCGGTTTTCTCTGCTTCCCTCTCTCTTTGAAGACTAGAATAAATCGCTTATTTGTTTCGGGCTTGTTTCTAGTTCGATCATCGCTTGCTCTTGGATCAAAGTTGGTTCACTTTTTTTCTCGGTAAGTTGGTTCATATCACCGATACTATCCGGAAAAAATTACTGAACTACAACCTTATAAATTGTTAAGGTGATTCATTTCGCTGATGCTGAAGTGATATCAATGTTTTTTGGTGAGATTGTTTTGAATTTGTCTCTTATATGACAGATCTGATTCCCTTTCTTCACTCCAATGCTATCAATCAATTGTTAACTTACATTGGGATCTGAATCCGTTATTTTTAAGATCACATCCCTTTTGCTTTCTATTGTCTTGTTGTTTTATTATCTGATTTTCAATTTTCTTGTTTTAATTCTCTAAAAAAATCTGGATCTTTTCTCCCTCCCTCTGCATGTTTGTTTGTATGCTAATACAGGGCAGGGGAGTCTGGATCGGGAATTTAAGTAATTCAAAATCTACTTCACTCGATAAGCAATATCAGGCAATGCAAATGTGGTTTTGATTTTTAGTTCTGTGTATGGACCATTTTTTATTGCTGATGACAACTAAGAGGTGTGGATCTACTTACTAGGTGACAAAACAAGCCTAAATTCCAATCCGTTTTGTTCGTGGCTATTGATCAGAAAAACAATTATACCTACATATTATAGATTCTACATACCATAGTTACTTCCACCGTGAGATTGAGAGAACTCAGGTGAAATGTGGCATAGGTGGGGGAAAACTATTACATGCTTTCCAATTTTAGAGTTTCGTTGGAAAGCCACCAGGCAAAATATAGCAAGTGCGGTAGCATGCCTAGTTATGTTCGGTAATGTCTACTGCAACTTTATCATGTTGCCCCGTATGTGCATTCAGTTATTGTAGGCAGTATTCCATGGTGTATTCTATTTAGAGTACAATATAACTTGTACAAAAATGAGTGATAAAATATCAGCTTTTACTGTTGAGTGTTAATTTATCCCTTTTGGACTAAACTGGAACAAACAGCCTATTGAGGTTTGAGACCTTACCTTCACTTAGCTCAGCTATATAATTTAGGAAAGTTAATTGGTTGAAAAGTGTAACCTAAGCTTTCATTAAAGCAACTGAGACAATGGAAATGTTGTTCGTGGGAGTCTATATCATGAGTTCAATCGTTATATTTGCAATCATTCATTGACTTTGTTTTATCTCGTACTGGTTCTATAGTTTGATGTTGTTTTTATTATCATAATGATGGTTATTTTGTAATGAATTCTTTTAACGTGGACTATGTGCACCTGCTAGGTATGGCATCATCTGATAAGCCAGATATCGTTGAAAGAGAAGTCAAGGAGGAAGAACACAAAGAAGATGACAAGGGTGAAGGAAAGGGTGGATTCATTGAAAAGGTGAAGGATTTTATCCATGATATTGGTGAGAAGATTGAAGAAACAATAGGATTTGGAAAGCCAACTGCAGATGTTGCTGGCATTCACATCCCTTCAATAAATCTTGAGAAGGCAGAGATAGTTGTTGATGTGCTCGTGAAAAATCCAAATCCAATTCCAATCCCTCTCATTGACATAAGCTATCTAATTGAAAGTGATGGAAGGAAACTGGTTTCTGGGTTGATTCCGGATGCTGGAACTATCCATGGTCATGGTTCAGAGACTGTTAAGATACCACTCACTCTGATATATGATGACATTAAAAAAACATATGATGAAATAAAACCTGGAAGTATCATTCCTTATCGGGTTAAGGTTGACCTCATTGTGGATGTGCCAGTTTTTGGTAGAATAACTATTCCGGTTGAGAAAACTGGAGAGATCCCCATCCCGTACAAACCTGATATTGATATTGAGAAAATTCGCTTTGAGAGATTCTCTTTCGAGGAAACTGTTGCAATTCTACATCTGAAATTGGAAAACAAGAATGACTTTGACATGGGGCTCACTGCATTAGATTATGAGGTTTGGTTGTCTGGTGTAAGCATTGGTGGTGCAGAACTCGCCAAATGTACAAACATTGACAAAAATGGAATCAGTTACATTGATATTCCCATCACCTTCAAGCCTAAGGACTGTGGTTCTGCTCTTTGGGACATGATTAGAGGAAAAGGCACTGGTTACACCATGAAAGGACACATTGATGTCAACACACCTTTTGGAGCAATGAAGCTGCCCATGAACAAGGAGGATGGTACAACCCGCCTGAAGAAGAACAAAGAAGATGGGGGCGATGACGACGACGAGGTATATTAACTGTGTTTCTTTTCTAAATTACCTTGCTATTTTTTACTGCTTGATTCTGCTAAGGTTTTCGGTCTAATAGGGGTTTTTATAATTGTATCAAGAAATGATCTGTGAGAAATGGAATCTCTCTGATCACTTTTTCTTTGATATTTACTAAGAACTCTATCTGAATCTTAAGTTAGTTAGCAATTTCTATTTATGAGGTGTCCATCGTCCTTGCTTTCTTGTTCCCCCATCAAATGACATTGCTTTGTTATTTTAAACCGCCTTTCCTGTTCATTGCTGAAGTGAATACTGTCATGAAAGTGCTGAATTGTGATCCTAGATTACTGGGACATTTCACATTTCCTTCCATGGTATGAACTGTTAGTTTTCAGGTTGTGAATCACGGGTAAATCATATAACAGGGCAGTGAGGCATTTTGAAACTTGAGAATTACATTTTGCAACAAACATATTGGGGCCCTGTTAGAAAAGTTAACCTTTCTAACTGGATTATACATTAGGCTGAGCAGAAGGTAGGGCGTGCAAGCAAGTGACACATTAGGTCAGAAAGTTAGGAAGGGAATATTCAGATGTCTACGTTGATATCTAATGTATAAACGTTTTAGACAGATAACAGAAACATATTTTAATTGTGGTACTAGAAATATATATGTCTTTATCTGTATATACTCTGTAGTAACTAATAATCATTGGGGATGAGAGGTAATAAATCTAATAGAGGCATCAATTTATACGGTTATAAATACATTCGTTAGCCAATCATATCCTTACATTAGTTCGCTTCCAGTTAAAAAAAAAATAAGGGTCAGCCACACATTTCTTTCAACTATATTCTTGGCCATATAATACAGAAAAAATATTATGTGTACCTTTCCGTCTATATTTATTGGAAGGATTTCCACCTTAATTTTTTGTCTTTTTGCAAGTAGTACATGGTTGATCTTACCTAGAGCTTGATGAAGCTCCTAATAACTTCTCAATGAGCAAAGGTTGAGCCTCTTTGCATCTTTTATTACTTTTCCTTGAAATTGGCTCACAAGTGAATTGTGTTAAAAACTACAATTGTTGTAGAAATTGAAAGATAAACAAGCCCTAACATATGCAGTTGAATGGTAAATGGTCAAATTAAAACATAAAAGATTATCTCGTGTAAAAGAGAAAATGAACGCTTCTATTTTTAATGATGTTTTTTAAATGCCCTCCCTTCAGAATCTTTACATACATGTGTGTGTTCCTTCAGAATCTTTACACACACACATATATATACTTAGAGAGAGAGAGAGAGAGAGAGAGAGGGGGGGGGCAAAATTGAGAGTACCAGTGGGTGTTTTTTTTGGGGGGAAGGGGGGATATAAGGAGTTTCTGGTGCAAAGCTGGGAAGCTCATTAACATGGTTTATATACCATGTATTAAGCTCAAAAGAATCTTACGATGCCTTTGAAAAATTATAATTAATTGGTCAATGGCACAATCTTTATATTGACTTCATCTTGAAGGCATTAATATATAATCTGTATCTTTCATATTGCGGACATTGTTAACACTTGTACACTAGATTTTGCATTCTAATAATCAATAAACTATTATGCAAAGAAACATTAATTAGCGGACATGAAACGGATTTCCCAAAATATATGTAAAAATATTATAGAAGATTAACTTATTGGTTATAGATTATAAGACCTCTGGCGATACATGCTCAACATGTCATGGGCAAGACTGTTTATTATGGATGTGTACATATAACAAATGGCATATGCATATAAAGAAACATATGTAGTAAGTTGCTATTATAAGCTTACAAAGGGCTGGCAATCAAAGTGATAATGAAATCCTAGGCAATGAAGCTGTCAGTTCCTATCAAAAGCTTTGTACATCAATCCTATTGTTATATTTCAAATGCTTTGTATGACAAGATGTTTTACATTTTGAACAATGAGATGTTGAAATAAAAACTTGTGTGTCTTTATGCTTATAGTGGTTGAAAGTGAGATTCTGGTGTTAGCATCCTATGCTTTGAGTATTCTCGGCAGCATCATAAGTCTCTACCATCCACTTTGTAATAGTTTTCCAAATGCACTGAATGAATTTAGTTAAATTGTAAACTTGAGGTTATGATTTAGGAGAGAGAAGAGAGATTGAGAGAAATAATGTGTGTACGACTGTGTTGCCCTATACTAAATATTTATAGTAGAGAAACAATTAAGGTAACTACAAATTTACAATATTACCCTATACCCATTAAATATGATTAATAAAAAATAAGAACCTTAACACTCCCCCTCGAGCTTGAGCATAAAGATTAAAAAATGCCCAAAACATAAATTACTAAAGGTGGACCAAACTAATGGCTTGGTAAGAATGTTACCTAGCTGATCACTAACCTTAATATATGGAATGATAATCTCCTAACGCATAAAGAGATCTCTAATGAAATGACCATCCACCTCGACGTGTTTGGTACGCTCCTGAAATACCAAATTACTTGTAATGAAAATAATTGCTTGGTTGCCACATGCATCTTCTTGGAAGAAGACACATTAATTCCCATATCAGTAAGTAAAGAGCGAACTCATAATATCTCACATACAAAATGAGCTTTAGTTCGATATTAAGCCTTAGCATTAGAATGCACAACCTCATTCTGCTTTTTGCTACACCAAATAACAAAATTATCACTAATAAACGTGCAATAACCAATAGTATATCGTCTATCAATACGACTATCTTCCAAGTCATCATTAGAAAAATCAATAACAGTTATGGATGATGATGGGCAATATAATAATTTTTTTCTCGGAGCCCTTTTATGATACCGAAGTATGCAACATGGATTCCCAATAAGGCCTACGAGGAGTATGCATGAAATGACTAACCACACCAACATCATATGTAATATCAGAACATGTAACTGTGAGATAAATCAGCTCACCAACTAACCTCCAACAGTGCCCTATACTATCAAAAACTTCTCCACTCTTCGGATTTAACTTTATTGTAGAGTACATGAGAGTATCAATTGAACGTGACATAAACTGATAACCTCGTTTGACCAGGTAACCTCAATACCTAGAAAATACCGAAGAAAACCCAAATCATTAGTGTAAAACTGTCTCCCTAAATGTACGTTGAAGTGGACAACACCATCTGAGTCATTATCGTTGATAATAATATCATCGACATGGACAATAAACAATAGTAATACCTTCAGAAGACCAACGAATAAAAACTGAGTGATCTGGAGTAGAGCGTTGCAAGCCAAACTAAAGTATTACTATACTAAACTTATCAAACCAAACATGTGGTGATTGTTTCAAGCCATACAATATTTCTTTCAAACGACACACTAATTGCTTCTGACCTAAAACAACATAAACTGGAGGTTGACTCATTTATATGTCCTATAGATCTCCATATAAAATGACATTTTTTTTATATCCAGTTGATACAAGGGCCAATTAGAACTGATTGCAACAAAAATAAGAACTCTAACAGATTTAAGATGAGCAACATGAGAGAAAGTCTCATAGTAAGCGACACTATATGTCTAAGTGTAGCCCTTGGCAACCCAATCATGCCTTCAAGTGCTCAACTGAATCATTAGGATGAGATTTTACATTGTAGACCCAGAGACAACTAATAGGGTGCTTTTTAGGATAAAGAGAAAAGAGGTCCCAACTGTGATTTTTATGGAGGGCTTTAATTTTCTCATCTATAACCAATTTTCAACCAGGAGATGTCAATGTTTGTTTCAAGGAGCTGGAAACAAATATAGAAGAAATGAATGATGCAAAACAACAAAAAGATGAGGAAAGTCGATGCAAAGAGACAAAATTAGAATGAGATGTTGGATACAAGTAAGAGTACCTTTCCGCAATGCAATGGACAAATTAAAAGACGATGATCCAATAGATGGATCAAGAGGAAGGACCTCAAGAGAATCAAGCATTGGTTAGGGTACTGGAGCATATGAAATTACCTGTCTATCTGTCGATCGATGATAAACCTGCGATGGAGGGTCATGAGTCAAAGTGGCAAAAGATACACAATCTGATACAAGAGCTCCCACTGACAAGTAGAGATTAACTTAGGGAAAAGATCACGTCCTGACGTAGAAAAGAAGGAAGAGAACTCAAAAGAGGCAACATCAACACTAACATAATACCATCAAGAAATAGGTGACAACAATGATAACATTTTTGAGTACGAGAGTATTTTAGGAAGACACTTAACCGAGCGTCGTGAAAGTTTATCTGGCCCCAGACCATGAAGGTGAACAAATACAACACAACCAAAGGCATGAGGGGTGAGACTAAAGGGTGATATAGCAAGGTAAAACAATGAGAACAGAGATTTGTCACCTATGATGGGGATGACATTTGATTAATAAGATAAACTGTAGTAAGAGTAGTATCAGCCCAATAGAGTTTTGTTACATGCATGATAAAAATAAGGGTTCGAAAAACATCTAATAAGCGGTGATTCTTACGTTCTCCAACACCATTTCATTGGATGAAGTTTAATAAATAATATAATGATCAACACAAAACGTATGCATAAATGATTGCACATATTCAAGAGCATTATCAGAATGGAGTACTTTAATATGTTTATCAAACTGTACTAGAATCTAATTGTAGAAGATGATAAAAACTTTAGGCAATTTAGAACTGTCCTCCATAAGAAACAAGCAAGTCATATGAGAATAATCATCAACAAAGATCATAAAATAATGAAATTCAGAAATATATATATATATATATATTATTTTATAGGACCCTAAATGTCGGAGTGAACAAATATCAAAAGGACTAGACTGACGACTTGCACTATTAAGAGGGAAAAAACTACTGTGATGCTTGCCTAATTCGCAAGCCTCATGTTCTAATACAAAATGAGGATTCAAACTAGGAATGACTTGACGAAGTTTTTGTAGTGAGGGGTGATCTAATAAAAAATGTCACTAGAGTGGAGACACAATAGCACTCACTAATAGTAGGAACT